CGTAGAACTTCACTATTAAAAATGATCAAAATTCTTTTTTGTTTTAGCATAATAACAACTTCTAAAATTAGGTTATCACTGTGTTAACTTCTCTAAACCAAAAAAGAATTTTGATTATTTTTGATAGTGAAGTCCTACAACGCTCTATATCTTTCTTTTTTGTTTATTATTCATAGTCTTTTTTTTTTTAAAAAAAGTACTTTAAACTATAAAAATTAATTTAATTTAAACAGCCAATCGTACGAATGTCTGCCTATGAAAAGCTGGAGATATACATTTTAGTGATCACTATGCTATTTTTGGTAATATAGAAATGTGTATTTGACTATCTAGCATTAATTATCATTATATAATTGTTTAGGGGGATAGTAGAATTTATGTTTTTGGTAAATTGGTGTTTTTCAAATATTATGGAATCTTTTAGTTACATATAGTTTAAAATGTATAGTAAATGAAAACAAATATTTTATCGATTTTTTTTAAAATCAAGTTTTTTTTGATTTTTTTTTAGTGCTCTTTATTTGTATTATATTAATTTTAAGTTAATTATATCATTATGATAATTTTCTGATTTATAATATTAGAGATGATTATAGTTGAAACATATAATGATAAGATTTTTGAACTTATGTAAAATTTAAAGTGATAAGTATTCCTACAAATTTTATTGTTGGTTTTTAACATTTACAGTGATAAATAAATGATATTTTAATAGAATAATAAAGAAATAAAGTATAAAAAACATAAGAAATTTAATAGTATAATATATATATATGTATTACTGACTATCGGGTAACAATTATTCTTCATCAGAAATTACAGTTGCTTTTTTATAACTGCGTGTAATTTGAGATTATTTTTGTTACAATCTTTAGTTGCATCATTAGTTTCGGATTTTTGATCTGTATGAATCGAATTATCTGAATTTGATTAACAATCTTCGATATCATCATCGGTAGTAGGATTAGTGTCTTCTGGTTTAACATTTTCATCAGATCATTTGCGTTTCAATGAAGGAAGATTGTTTTCGGGATCAACTTCTGAATTTTGAGTTATAGTTTGATAAACATTAAGAAGTTTATATCATGTTGGATTTGGAATTGGATTAGTTGAAGGTAATTCAGTATCAGGAAGTTCCTTTTTTTTAGTAATAAAATGAGTATATATAAAATTGATATCATTAGCATAAACATATAATTTGTTAGCTATAATTTCCATTTGTCTAACTACGAAAATTATTGACTCTTGTGGGCGAATTGTTGTTTTAAAATATTTGAATCAGGAATTATCATGCGGAAAGACCACCTTGACAGTGTAATTATGGGGTTGACTAATATAGTTTGATATAAGTGTTTCGATAACAGATTCTCCTGTGTCTTTAATTTCAATTGGCATTTTTTAAGGAATTCCTACCAAAGAGACTTTCAAGGGACATTTATTTGCATCGGGGATTCTATTAGCAATTGCTATGTGAGTCAAGTAGCAGCAATCATCTAAATATTAAATAAGCGTTAATTTTAAATTTTTAAAATTTATATATTGTATTGTTGTAAAATTATGCTATAAGACGTTATTCATAGATACATCATTTAAAGAGAATCAACAATAGATTCAATAAAAAGCTTTTTTTTTAAAAAAAATAATACTATGAAATATCAGAATATAAAAAGGCTTTCAGCAAATCAATTATTAATTCTCTTTAAACTATGGGTCTCTGAATAACGTCTTAGAGTATTATTTGGTGATAATATAGTAATATATTTAAGTACTTTTGGTTTAATTTTTCCAGCATAGAATCCAGATATAATTTTTTCTCCGACAAGTAGTATTCATCTCTTTTAAAGATAGCTTGCGATTCTGGGTTTCAATTATCTGGATTGACTGGTAAAAATAAAGTTACCTCTATTTCATTATCATCACGTCCTACTGGGTACATTCCAATAGCCCATACTGAATATGCTTTAGCATCATCTTTTTTATTTCATCTAGTATGTTTAATTTTAATTATAGTATCTGCATAGCAAAACATAATAATAGTCTTGGATATTGGTTTAATACGAAAAATTTAAACAACAAATTTTAAACAACAAATTTGTTACAAAG